AGAAAATTTTTCCCTTTTCTTTTTGTGGAATTACACTTGTGTAACTGGCGTTTCAAGAATTTTTTTTTTTAGATGTAGGAACTAACAATGAGAGTCAAACTAAAAAGATTCAACAAAACAGCATACGTGTTTTGTTAACATAAAAATGAAAGTTTGTTTATTTAATTCACCCGAAAAAATTGCAACATAAAAACAATTGAAAAAATAATTCATTAGTACAAATCATTCCAAAAAGTTTCAAAAAATTAAATAAGCAAACGATATTTCCGTAAGCTAATATTAGGACATTATACATACACTAAGGGTTTTAGTAGACAAAACTCAATAAATACATGCAGAAAGATTAATAATGAGTGTATAGAAACGCCAGTTTTGTCTAATGATTATTATTTATTTATTAATGATTACATTATTTATCGACTCCAAGTGTTTGCCAATCAAGACTATAAAATTACTTTACCAGCTTTTCTGTTTAACATATTTTATGCTACACTAACGCTGATTATCTCCGCTTCACAGTAACTAACTCACAGATAAAATTTTAACTTCTCACTAGATGAGTTGAAAATAACTTTGAGAAGAATGAAATGTGAATACTGAGAAACTCTAAAAAAACGTGCTGCTTTTTATATTTGAAAAAATTAATTAAATTGTCTACTAAAAGACAATAAGTCTTGTTATTTATTGTGAAAAAAACCAAACAAAAACAAAAACATAGTTTAATAATAAATTCACCACCTTCGTGGTATGCTCACTAATAAAATCGATGTACATGACAGAAGTCGCAAAAAAGCGAAAATATTCCCAGCTATACTCCGATAAACGCGCAATTTTTAACTATCTGCGTTTCTATCAATTAATGTGAAAAAATAAAAAAAAAATCAACTCTACCTCACTCGCTCATTAATTAATTAATTGTTGTTCATATCCACGCAAAAAAAAAAATAAATAATAAATAAATAAAGATACATATTTTAGCAAACCTAAAATGTGAAACAACAATGATGTTTAATTGACGCTTGTGTGATGTATGTTGCAACAACAGCAAAGCCGTTCGACGCAGACAAGGCGTGGAACGATCACCTGAACCGTCTGGCTGATATCGACAAACTGTACCCGAGCAAGTCACCACTGCTGTCCCGCCACACTACTCCGTTCTCGACAAAGCCTCTCTTCGATATTCACGGTAACAAAATAATCATGCACATGTATTTCGATTAATGACAAACATTCTTTTTTTTTTTTTTTTTTTTTTTTTAAATTTTCATGATGATTTTCTCCATAGGCAACATTCTCGATGACCTGCTGCCGCGGTACCCGCAATCGCTGCTGCGCGGCCACGCGAGGCCGCTGTTGAATATGCTCGAGCCGAATCCTTACTCACCCATCAGCGCCTTCTCAAGGGACCCCTGGTGGTACCCGAGCTACGCGCCGTACATCCCCGGCTACGCCCAGCACAGCTCGCCGTTTTACCTACGTGACAGCTATCTCAGCCCCGTCAAGCGTAACTATCTCTGGAGTAGGCACCCACTCAGGCCTTTCGGTGCGTTTGTTTGACATTACAACTTTTTCGTTTTTCTTTTTTTTTTTTTTTTTTTTTTTTTTCTTCAAAGAAAATCGGTCATTTCGACAATTTCCAGCGGTTGACGAATGCAAACTGATCTTCTTTTTTATCTACACGATATTGATCCACAGGGTGATCGACGTATTTGAAGTTAATACATTTAATCTATTTCAGAGGAAACTTGAATACATTCCGTATGATAAAAAGTTTCGGTTCTTATAGTTTGAAATTATTAAAAAGGCTTATACAAAATCAATAAGATTACGCAGCAGGTAAAAGCTGTTACTTTTATTAAATTCGTGGTCTTGTCCGTGCATATAATATATGGCGATTCTAAAAATAACATTTTTTTAAGTTTATGTATAAAGGGTTCGTTGAAAACCTTATGTGAAAAGTTTCCTTAATTGGTTGTAAGTTCGACTAGATTATAGAAAAATTTCGTCGACCTATCAGTACGTTTATTGATTTTTGGAAGTTTATCGGTAACTTTACGTCAAGTTGATTGGGAAATTAAAATAAAGTTTTAAAAAATTACAAGTGGGACTAAAATCAACAGAGTAAGTTATTTGTTAATAAATTTTCTGTACTGATTGCTGTACCTATAATCTTGTAATATGGGTAGTAAATTTGATAAAAAAAAAAAAAATTTCTTAACAAATATCTAAAGTGCTCGTTATAGTACCTCGTAATCTTATTAAAATTAAATTCCAGCAAGCTTTTTTTTAACTATTAAATTTAAGACTCTTTTGGGGTGGATATAGAGTCTCAAATACCTGCTCGAACATTTTTTTTTTTTTTTTATCTTTCATAATATTTATCTAACGTTAACCATTAAAAAAAAAAAAAAAAAAAAAAAAAAGCAAGTTCCAATTTTTGTCTGCGGTTTTTCTCAAATTTCCACCAAGTTTAGGTGCTGCGTTAATATTTACGCAGTTACTTTAACTAAAATTGGATTTCACCGACGTCGTGCGCATCAATCGATTTAGTGCGGCTTATGCTTCATTATCCGTATTAGTGGCTTGTTTTACTCTATTGTGGCCTTCGAATTGCACAATAGACTGGCGGTACATCGGTCGATATACTTACGTTATTTCAGAAGGTTGAAAGTACCGAACTCCTCCAAATGTGATGTATTTTACCAGCAAAAGAGTCATTTTCTTATCTGTATAATTTGTTTGATATTTATTGGAAAAAATTTGGAGTAAAAATAGTTTAAAAAATTCTCGAACCTAAAAATTAATGTGCCTTCATAAATTTTAAAAAATTATTAGGTTTTGCTAAATTAAATATTGTTTTGGTGAAAGTAAAAAATACTAATATTTTGCTGGTAAGACGGATAATGACATATTTTGAAGGTCGGTAAATTCCTTCCTGTTTAATGGCTCTATTTTAAGATATAAATTTTTTTATTACCGTTTAAGTGTATTCTGGGAAGGAAAAACTTAGTCCAAAAAATGAAATGATGCATTTTTAAATAGCTTGACATTTTTTGAAGCTACAGATTATTTTTCAACTCAAGAATTTCACTCGTAACATCATTTTACTTAATTTTTATAAGTACTTGGATTTAGTAATTAAATGCAGTGTAATTCGAGGTATTAGCTGATAAATACAATTCTTATTTCAACAATGTCTGTTCAAAGTTGAAAGTACTAAAATGAAAATAATTTAAAGAATAATCAGCGAAAATATATTTTTTATTAATACAAAATAAATCATCAGTCGCCCTCTTTTTTTCAGCCCGTGAACTAGACGAAAAATTGTCGGATAGCTTACTTTTTTGAAAAAAATCAGGATTTTTACGTGAGCATTTTTGAAGTTTTTTCAAACAAAAAAAAAACTTGTCGCTCGCTTGCTAATTGAATATGATTACATAAACATGGTAGAAGCATGACGTTTTTGAAAATTAGAGATTTTATCCATGTTGTTTTGCAAATTTTCAACACCGTTCTTTTTACATTTTTTTTATTTTCAAATGGCCATGGCTGTTAGTTTAGTAAAATTTTTGTGCATAGTTAGAAATTTTTTCTGTAGTTTTTGCAGTAATTTTTTAACTTATTTTTTTGGCCTCGCGTGCGCATTTTTCTTTTTGTATTTTGATGATGCCTTTTTTTTATCATCAACATACCAAATAAAACCAAAGTATCCACGGCTGATTTTTACGTGGCTGCTTCGATCGATATTTATTGTTTCATTGCTTGTCATGCTTACGTATACACAATTTAAATGCAGTCGCATTCACTGGAAACTATATTTTACAGCAAAGTTATTATCGTCAAAGTTAAACGTAGTAATTTTAAAGTTGTAATTCTGAATCATTGACTTCTCATTCTGGTCTGTACTTACATTATATTGATAGTATTTTATTTTAATTTGCATTTATTTTTTAAGCTAAGCATTGTAAAAATATCGAAAGACTCACATAAAAGATATCGACGTAGGTGGCACATGATGTGTAAATCGAGCCTGTCATGTTCTTGCAGGTTCGGAATATTTCTATTATTCGCAGCCCGTTCCCGTCTATCACTTTACCAAACCATGGTACAATCGACATTGAATACCGAAGTGAGCGAAGATCATAAAATTTATGATTTTTGTGTTCAATTTTTTTTAAATTTATCTTCACTTCGCATCATTTTGTTACTTCTTACAAAACCCTTTTTACGCACTGACACCCTGAATTTTGTAACTTCTACCCCGTACCCTTTTTGATCTACGTGTTCAATAACTCTGATTCTAAAAATAAAAAAAAAATAAAATTTTTAGCTGAGGAACTTTTTTAAAACCATACAAGGCAGTTTGATAAAAATACTAATTTTTGTACTGTATTTTTAAAATTTTTTTAGTACTACACGAATTAAGCCAGTATGACATAATTAAAGATAAACTACAAAAACATGGCAGGTACTGCAAATAGTTGGTAGTTTTTGGTTTTAAAAATTTTTTTAGTGTTGTGGAGTATATATTTTTTGGATTATAAATTTTTTTATGATGCAGTTTTCATTAGTTTTTGTATTTATAGTACCATTTATTTCTGTTACCAATGTAATCATTGATCGTTTAAAAAAAAATTTTATTTTTCATTGTGACAGTTGAAAAAAAACTCAGTTTATTTTTAGATTAGACCTCAGTTTGTGAATAAAATGTATGGATTTTTTTCAGAATTTACAGTTCAACAATAACAATTGTTCAATAATCATTTCCAACACTGAACTCTACATTTTTTCAGAGCCATGGTTGTTATTTCCTCAATGTTTTTCGAAGTAACTTTTGGAAGGCAGTCACCGATATTTTTGTAATTTTGGACTGCTCCTTTTCATCTCCCTCGATAATTCCTTGCATTAAAAAAAAACAACGGTTGCATAAAATGTTTTTTGAAGAATATACTGTGACCTCATGTGTTGACTTGTGATTAATTATTGTTCGATCTTAGTCTCATCACCTATAAATGTGTACTCATACTTTTTTTGTAAGAAACGAAATTACCTAAGGGTTTGCTTCGATTTTTTAATCGACTCTTATGATTTTTTAATAATTATAAATGTTTATTTAGAGTAGAAAATTTTTCCCTTTTCTTTTTGTGGAATTACACTTGTGTAACTGGCGTTTCAAGAATTTTTTTTTTTAGATGTAGGAACTAACAATGAGAGTCAAACTAAAAAGATTCAACAAAACAGCATACGTGTTTTGTTAACATAAAAATGAAAGTTTGTTTATTTAATTCACCCGAAAAAATTGCAACATAAAAACAATTGAAAAAATAATTCATTAGTACAAATCATTCCAAAAAGTTTCAAAAAATTAAATAAGCAAACGATATTTCCGTAAGCTAATATTAGGACATTATACATACACTAAGGGTTTTAGTAGACAAAACTCAATAAATACATGCAGAAAGATTAATAATGAGTGTATAGAAACGCCAGTTTTGTCTAATGATTATTATTTATTTATTATTTTTTTTTTTCTCAATCAAACGAGATTTTTGTATTAATTTTTCGATTTCTTTTTTTTCAGCTCATGTATACTAGGGATTCTGCGTCGCCCTGCCACGTGAAAGCGTAAAACACAAAACACATAAAATAATTAACAAGTTCAATCATCATTTTAAAAAAACAATGTCAAAGCAGAAGTAACGAGAATTTTACCAGAACACAAAACAGATATCGTCCTTAGCGATGAAAACAATAAAATACAACGCACATTACTTCTCTTCTCGCAATTTTATTTATTTATTAACATTTTATCGTCATGTAAATAAATCTGTGCGCACATTATTGCTATTTGAAAATAAAATCGACGAAAAAAATTTTATAAAACGACAATAGTATCTTTTGTATTCTCTTATTTCCATGTTTTAAAAGCCCTGTTTTCCCTTTCCCATCCACAAAATATCCATGAGTTATTTAATAAATTTTTTTTTTCATAAGGGCATGGTGAGTAAAAGAAAAGATAAAACAACTGTATTGTACAACAATATGCACGTTTATTAAATTTTTATCTCAAAGATGTATATATCTTTAGGACGTTTACCGTCAATTTCACCATGATGCGACTGCTGGGATTCGAATATAACATCACGTGCACATGCACCTCGCACGCCTCCTCTCTGTAGTTTGATTTATTTTAATTATTTCTTCATTTCAGTTTTACTAATACATCTACATCAGAAAAGAAAAAAAATTTTCTGCACTCGTAATGTAATGTACTAAGCTTATACAATATAATTTTTCGCAAAAACTTTATTCATTTATTATTTAATTACCTTTTCTTTTTATATATAGTCTTTTCAAAAGTCTCTTATGATGATAATAATAATAATGATAATGATAATAATAATAGCTACCGATAGTTGATTGAAACGGATTCTCGATTGAATCGCAGTAAACGCATCATTTACAATTACAACTCCTCGCATGCACTTATTACATGGCAAGATCACTTTATTTATTTATATACTTATTTTTATTACATTTTTCAGCTGTGTGACACAAATCTCGTCTGCATTAGCTCTATCGTATCATCGAGAATGAGTATCGCTCTCCTCTCTCTCTCTCTCTGCTGTACTTTCTTTCTTTTGCACCCTTTTCCACTCAAATTTTTCTAAAATTTTTATTATCATCTTAATCGAATATTTTCTGTATTTATGTTACTATAATAATTATTATTATTACAATTGTTATTTACTTGTTTTTTTATTTTTTTTTTTTTATATCCGGGAACACAAATTTGAGGGCTTTTCTTAGAATCTTGAAGAAAGACAGCATATTATGTTCTTCATACATAATAGTTAAAAATCACCTCGAGTGACAAAATTATCTGATAACCATTAATCAATAAGATGCAACAAATCAGTTTATAAAGATGAAATTTAATGATTACTACTATTGAGACAGTTTACGCAAAACTTATTAATAAAATCTATAAGTAATATATAATTTTATGAACTCATGCATTAAATCGATGACAAATTTTTATGAAAATGCCAAACTAATCCAGTAATTATTTTCTTTGCAAACACAGTCAGTTAAGTGATTATTATCAATAAACATCTATGATAAAAATGTACCATTAAATATACATTTTAGTTGCTTTTTTCTGGATTCCAAGTTAATTCGGTTCCCGCGTGTATCTTACGTGTTTGTGTCAGTGTATGTGTGTGAATACACATATATGCACTTATAAATTTTTACCGCTGCCAACAAGAACGCAAAAATCGAGTTTAATAGCTCGCTGAAATAGAATACTCACAGCTTATCGTAAATTTTTTCTCCCATCAAAGACGCTACAAACGCAAAAAAGCTACATCATGTCGTGCTGTGGTTATCGGAAAAGAAAAAACATGTTATTGATTTATAGATATATATATGTATATCTCGATCAACTCCTTTTATTTGCTGAAAGAGTCCTGTACGACTTTTATTTTACATATAATATATACGTATGACGCATCGAACAACATATTACACATAAAGTTGAGTTTGTTTATTTGTATGTGTAAGCTAGTAAGACAATACGAGAGACAATGTGACCGATACACAATTCGTTATTACTTAAAAAAATACTGATTCCGTATTACACATCTTATTATACTATCCCTTCCTTTCATTACTTATCTTCGCGATTCATGAGACTACTACTATATTATGAATCAAGTGATCAAAATGAGTTCACACGGTATAATAGAATCAGGCAACAAGGCACACGATAAACTTCAAATCCAGAAGACTGATCGAACAAAACATATCTCTTCAATGTCTATATATATTATCAACCAGCTGTTTGTAAATATTATTGATAAAAAATAATATTGTCGTAAAAGAAGTAAGAAACCAATTGCAAAATACTGTGATTTCGTTGCATAAAGTATCATGTACACGTATCAAAATAAATGCAGTTTTTTACTTTTGCCTTTGTATTGGAGCAAAAAAAAAAAAAAAAAAACTTTACTTCTTAGAGGAAGACTTGTGTATATGTAAAGCATAATATTTATTAAAACAGCAACAATATTTCGAAGCCAACGTTATCTGGTATAAAGGACGCATTTCGGTTCTATTCGTTTGCCAGCTTTTCGTCACTGTAAGGGTGTCTATAGTCAAATTCTATACTTTTTACCTGCTTGATTGTATTTTTTTTTTTTTTTTTTTTTTTTTTTTTTTAAATTTT